TGGGAAAACCCAGCTGGCCCATACTTATCCTGATCTTTGTGTGTGTCAAACAGCTGTGGTGGCCTAGTCTAGCCCAGCCTTCCACCAAACCCAGCTCTTACATAGGCCAATGGGTGCTGCAGCTCTTCCTAGCCAATCAGTTCTAGCTCGCATGCTTACCAGTGGGAACAGTGGCCTAACAGGGGTGTCCTTAGAGATCCCCTACCAGCCTTGCCCCCAACCTGGTTCTTTTCCATGCTGCTGGAAGTTCAATCCAGTCTGACATGACCTGCCTCCACTGGCATTCACTGGTGGGTCCTGTGGCTCTGCTCAGCCAGCCTGCACCATTCTGGCTCTCACCAATAGATGCCACAGCCCAGCCTTACCTGGTCCATCACTAGACCCAACCCTCATGTGCACCAGCTGATGCCACAACCTAGCTCAGCCTGTTCCACACCTACTCTGGCTCTTGCTATTGTCAGCCAGTGCTCGGGCTTAGTCCAGCCTGGCATGCCCTGGACCCAGCTCACACACATGCTGAGGGATAATATAGCCATGTTCAGTCCAGTCCACACCAGGCCCTTGCACTCATCAGTGGGAAGTGCAGTCCAGGAGGGCAGTCCTCTTTGTTCCCAGCTGGCGATCTCATGCATGCTGGTGGTTGTGCTGCCCCACCCTGGCATGGCCCACCCCTGGTCTCAGCACGTGCTGGTGGATGCTGCAGTCTAGTCAAGCCCAGCCTTCCCCAGGCCCAATTCTTACCAATGGATGCTGAAGCCTAGTCGTATCCAACCTGCCCCTATCGCTGGTTCTCTTACGAGTCAGTGGGTACAGTAGCCTAGTCCAGCACAGCCCACACGTTGTGCTGGCTGCCTAGTGTGTCAAGAGGTGCTAAGGCTTGGGCTCAGCCCAGTCCAGCTGGCCTGGTCCCCAAGAGAGCATACACACATACTGGTGAGTGATGCAGCCTTGCCTTGCCTGGCCTATCCCCAGTCTGCTCTTGCTCACCACTGGAAGCTATAGCCTAGCAGGGGAGTGCAACAAGTTCCCCCACCAGGCTGGATCCCAGACCTGGATCTCACTTGGGCCAGTGGGTACTAGGGTCCTATCTACCACAGTCTGCCCCCAGTCTCAGCCTTTGTGTATCCTGCTACCCTGGCACCGACTCTCGGGTATACCTGTGGGTGCTACAGCCTGGGTCAGCTCAGCCTGCTCCCAACCCCAGTTCCCATGAATGTTGGTTTGCTTCATGATCATTCCTAGCTCTGCCCATCTCTACCCCAAGCTCTCATGCAAACCAGTGGGTACTGCCAACCCACAGGAATGAGCTCACAAATCCCCTACAGAATCTGCCCCAAACCTGATCTCTCAAGTGCCGGTTGATATCAACTGGCAGGCCCGCAAGGCCCATCACCTGCTGCAGCCCACCACCTGTCTCACCATCGGATACTGTGACATAAACCTAGCAGGCAGGCCCTCCAGCCCTAGCTTTTGCGTTCACCGGGAGGTGGTGCTGATGCTACCTAGCTCAGCCCAGGTCTCCCATGTGGATGGGTGCACTGGTCTGACCCAGATATGCCATCTAGTTTCCCCCCTCCAAACCACTGGGCCTCAGCTCCCTCATTTACCTGCAAGTGCAGTAGCCTGGTCTGTGGAAGCCCCATCAAGTCACCCCTCAACCATAGGCGTAGCAGGCTAGTACTTGGAATCTCCCAGAAGTAAAGTACTCCCATCAGAAGTACCCAGTCTCAAACATCTCAAAACCGCCTTCCCTGGGTAATCATAGCCCGCACACAAAGTGTGGGCCCACCCCTGGTCTTCTGGCATTGTGCTGGCCTGCCACACCCCTCATATACTCATCTAATTTTAATGTCATATCTGTTCTTTCAACCATAAATTTTAACCATAATTTACTAGTTTTCTTTATGATACATATAAAACAGCATTACTACTAACAACACTATAACATTACTACTAATGATAAAAACAGTGAATAAAATTTAAGATTCGTAATTCACTTTTTCCTTTAAACTTACCTTTATAAACATACTTGAATATAGTAAAAACACTGTGTTAAAGCCACTAAGAAGGTGGGTATTAGGCATGTTGGCCAAGATTCTGCTTGGGGTGCCTACGTCCTATACGGAAGTGCCTGGCCCTGCTCCTGACTCCAGCTTCCTGCAGTGTGCACCCTGGTAGCAAGCGAGTGACAGCTTACATGGTTGGGACCCTGCTACTCAATGGAAGACCTAGACGGAGCTCTCAGCTCTCAGTAACTGCCCCATTCAGGTCCACCCTTAGCCCAGGAAAAGCCTTGGACTGCATGGCCTTCTATGGTAAGAACCCACTTGTTACTGAGCTCAGGCTTGTATCTTGTTCTTAAGGACTTCCTTGGCTTCTTGTGTTCAGCTGTGTACTCTAATGATGTTTGTTGTTTTTCACTTTGGATTTCGAGATAGAAATGTCTTCACATGTCTAGTCAGTCACATGGCTTAAAAAGGAAGTCTTCGCAGGTTTGGTCGCAACAAAGACTAGTGCACATTATGGAATGCCGAGGTGAGGTTGCCTGTACCCGAAGGGACCGCAGCGCCCAACCAGCCTGAGAACAAGAAAGGAAGTGGGCAGAGCCGGCAGGGGAATAAGGGAGGGTTCCTTTGCAGGACAGCTACTTCCGCAGGAGAGCATGGGTTGGGATGGGGGCAGACCAGACTAGGCAGAGCTACCACACCTGTGCGCCTCATGGGACTAGATCAGGGAAAAGCCGGGCTGGGCGAATTATTTCTACTGGTGCAAACAAAATTAAAGTGGGCGAGGGTTGTTTGGGCTTAGACGCAGCATCAACTGGAATCTGGGAGTGGGAGAGGCCTGGGAGGGAAATAGTGGGCTTATCCCTCTTGGGTTACCACTTCCACAGGAGGACATAAAACTAAGATAGCAGCTGGGGTGGAATGGGGTGTGGGACAGACTGGATTACTGCTACACTTACTGGCAAACCAGGGTAGGGGGTGGGCCTGGTGGGGGTTATTGTGGGTCGCTCCAACCTAGGCTGCAGCTCCCGCTGGTTTATGTGAGGGCCAAGTATGTGCTGGGCAGAACCAGGCTGGACTGCAACACCCATTGGTTCCAGTGGAAGTCGGGAGTGAAAACAGAACCTAGCAATTGCAACCACCAGCTGATTGGAGCGATGGACAGTGCCAGGCCCTGTACTTGTTAGCACATACAAGAAATTTCTTTGGAGATCTTCCTAATCTAAATGCTGGACTCAGAACCCTAACGAAAGAAAAGAGAGAAGACAGAACAGGTCAACCAACCATCTAAGCTCTGATGGACTATGTCAATCAGTGGATTTTTTCAAAGATCTCATAGTGCTTGGAGTGGCAAGATTGACAGCGATTCATAACTGTGGCAATATCAAAACCACTTGAGCAAGAACCTCAGAGCATGCCCTACATCCGGGACCTGGGGAGGGTGGGAAATTGGGTGGGCTTCTCCCTTAAATACCCCCCTTGAAACATGAAGCTAACAATATGGAAAACATACTAGTATTATCCACTTTCCTGTAGCCCTTGAACCTTCTTAATCTAATTAACTATGTAAAGAATGTCAAAATAAAAAATTAATTAATTAATTAATTTAAAAAAAAAAAAGGAAGTCTTCGGGGACCGGTGCGTGGTCTAGCAGCTAAAATCCTCGCCTTGAATGCGACAGGATCCTACATGGGCACCGGTTCTAATCCCACTTGCCCTGCTTCCCATCCAGCTCCCTGCCTGTGGCCTGGGAAAGCAGTTGAGGACGGCCAAAGCCTTGGCATCCTGCACCTGTATGGGAGACCTGGAGGAAGTTCCTGGCTCCTAGCTTTGGATTGGCGCAGCACCGGCCGTTGCGGCCACTTGGGGAGTGAATCATTAGACGGAAATGATTCCTTCCTCTCTGTCTCTCCTCCTCTCTGTATATCTAACTTTGTTATGAAAATAAAAAATAAAATTTTATAAAAAAAAAAAGACCCTACTTGAGGTATGCGTGTGCGCTTGCATGTACACATCTGGCTTAGCGGTTGAGTCTGACCTTGGAATACCCTCATTCCATATCTGAGTGAATGGTTCAAGCCCTAAGTATTCCACTTCGGGTCCAGCTTCTTGATAATGAATGTCCTGGAAGCAGCAGATGACTCAATACTTAGGTCCCAGCTACTCACGTGACATACTGGATAGAGTTCCCGGTTTTTGGCCTGACCCAGCCCATTGCCACTGCGGACATTCAGGGAGTGAAGTGACTAATGAAAAATCTCTGTGCACATCTGTGTCTCCGCCTTTTAGGTAAAGTGAAAATAAATCTATGAACTTTTTTGAAGATGTCACTTGGGATGTCCACATCCCGTATTAGAGTCTCTGGGTAGAGCAGGGCTCCACTCCCAGTCCTAGCTCCCTGCTAAGGCACCCTCTGCAGGATGGTACTGATAGCAGGGTCCCTGGGTAGAGCAGGGCTCCACTCCCAGTCCTAGCTCCCTGCTAAGGCACCCTCTGCAGGGTGGAGTGATGATTCAGTAAGTTGGGTCCCCAACACCGGCCCCCCACCTGCATCTGGGACCTGGATATATTTCTGGCTGTAGGAATTTGCATGGTAAAACAGAGAATGGCAAGTCTCTCTGTGCCCACAAACTAAATAAATAAATAACTTTCAAAAAATGTTCCTCAAGTTCAAAGGAAGGTCTTACTCAAACTGTTCCTTGAAGAATATTGGCAAAAGAGAAATACAGCCAGTCACGTAATACTTGATTTAACATTACTTAATATTAAATAGCTTATTGGGGGATGTAGAATAAATATATTTGGAAATATGCAAGGAAAATCATGTCTGTACTTAACAGGGTCTGATTCTTTAGAAGTTTCATGGTAGTCATTTAGTAGACAGTGATGTCTGTCTGTTCAAATTGTACTTCTACAATGACTTTGTAAAGTCACTGACTATATTAGGACCTAGCTTTTCCCAAGATACTCATAATTAGTACCCACTAGTCTTACCTTCTCTTTCATGTTCTCAAAAGCTCCTCCCTGAGCCAAGACGGTGTTGGACTGTAAATCAAAAATTAATCCAGATGAATCTGAAAGAATATGAAGGAAAAAATACATTCAGTATGATCCAAATCTAATATGTAATCCAGCCTCAGGACAGAAATCCCAATACTGGCTTTTTTTTTTTTTAATTTAGTGGTACAATTCCATGGGGATTGAGATTCCACATATTTCCCCCCAACCCCGCACTGATTTTCTCCATACTATTCCAATAGTATAGTAATTCATAAGCAATCCATGTCCATCAGTCTGCTAAAGCGTGTCCCAGCATTGCTGCTACAATATCACACACTCCAGCATCCCATTCTCCAGATAAGTTCAAGAGTTTCATTAGGAGTCCATCTGATTGGGACTTAGGGATGCATATTACATTGTACCTTCACATCTGAATATGATAGTCTCTATTAAGCCATCACTAGATTTCCTTAAATGAGAAGCCACGAAACAAAGTCAACAACAGGAATGAAGTTAAAACAAAAAATTTACAACATCATGAAGTTGAAAAATGTGCCACTGAATAACCAATGCATGGGTGAAGAAAAGAAAACACAAAACCTTTTGGGCAAAATGATGCCACCGTGTGATACAAGATCCAGTATTGAATTTAACAAAGGAAAAGAAAGTATTTGGAAAAAATATAAACAAAAATATCAAACCATGGGATGCAGCAAAAAACAATCTGGAAAGGGTTACTGATCTATTTTATTATTGTTGTTATTATTTTTTTAGCTAATCTTTATATAGTCCTTTAGGGCACAAAGGGTAAAGGGCTACACGAAAGTGGGTAAGGCCATTGTTTCCACACTAATATTATTATTATTTTTTCTGTATCTGGGATCAGGGGAGAAACAAAGGGAGAAGCCCCACCCAGCCTCCCACCCATCCCAGGTCCCCAAAGTGGGGCATGCTCCAAGGATCCTGTCCATGCAGTTTTGATAGCTCAACAGTTCTGAATTGCTGCCAATCTCGCCATTCCAAACACAACAAAATCTCTTCACAATCCACTGGCTGACACAGTCTCTTCATGGTTGGGGTTCTGAGATCAGCAGTTCAGTTGGAGGGATCCCCAGAGAAACTTCATCTGAAGTGATCCCAGACCTGATTCTTGTGTGTGCTTGCCAGTACAGGGCCCAGCACAGTCCATCGCCCCACTCAGCTTATGCACATGCTGTGGTTGCAATTGCTGGGTCAGTCCTGTTTCCAGCCCTGTCTTCCATGCTAACCAATGGGTGTTACAGTCCAGCCTGATCCAGCCCACTTCATACTCGGCCCTCAGGCAAACCAGTGGGACCTGCAGCCTACCAGGCCTGCCTACTACCCTGATTCCCATGTTTGCCACTATGGACCACAGACTTGTTCAGTCTGTCCCACATCCCATTTAGCTCTCATACATGTCAATGGCATTGAAGCCTACCTAGTTCAACCCAACCTGCCCTACTGTCCAGCCCACACACTTACTGGCGGGTGCTGTTCTGTCTAGCCAGCACTGCCCCAGTCCTGGTTTTCATGTTCTCCAGTGGGAGTGGTAACCCAAGAGGCAGGTGCCCACTATTTCCCTCCTGGGCCACTGCCACTCCCACTCCCGGGTTATGCACTCTGCAGGTGGTTCTGCAGTTTGACTTGACAGAATTAGCTCCCAGTGCCAGCCTCTGCCAGTTGATGCTGTGGCAAGGCCAACCAACCCTCACCCACTCTGATTTATGCTTGGACCAGTAGGAACAATAAGCCCACAGGTGTTATAGCCCTTCCTGGTCTGGTCTGCGCCCATCCCCACGCATGGTCTCTGCCCATCCCCCCTCACGCTCTCCAGTGGCAGTGGCTGTCCAGCAGGGGAGCCCTCCACATTCCCCCTACCGGCTTTGCCCCCTCCCTCCCTGGTTCTCATGTGTACTGCTTGGGTACTGCGGTCGGTCTGGTACGGCCCACCTCACCTTGGCATTTGCCAGTGGGTGTTGTAGTCTGGCCCAGCCTGGGCCACCCCCAATTCCAACTGTCACTGGTTACAACCTAGCCCAGCCCAGCACACCCAATCCCAGCCTTACTGTGCACTGGTATGTGTTGTGACCAAACGTGGCCTGACCCACACTCTGTTCTGGTGCTTGGATTTACCAGTGGGTGATGTGAACTGGTTCAGCCTGGTCTGCTTTTGACCTATGCCAAATGTATGCTAGTGGGTATCTTTCTCTGGCCTGGTTTGGGTTGCTCCCTATTGTGGTTCTTGTGCTCACCTGCAGGGACTGTGTCCCAATAAAGGAGTTGGGTTATCTCAATCTATTTTCCCAGGAACATTAGCAGGGGAGTTGGATAGGAAATGGTGGAGCCAGAATTTGAACTGGCTGGCGGTGGCCTTACACTACATCGCAGGAACATTAGCAAGGGAGTTGGGAGAGGAAGTAGAGGACCTGGGATTTGAATTGGCTGGCAGTGGCCTTACACTGCACCACAACACCAGCCTCTAGGTCTGGATGTTTTTCCCCATTAAACAATTAACAACTTGGTTGTCAACTGGCAAATTGTTTTAAATGACTTATAACTACAAATTAAAATCATAAAATAAAACTTGATTTTAACAGAAACTGTTATAGTTTGTGGAGAACATCAAATGTGCCAATTACATTAGACTGTCCTGTAATTGTTGGTGTCTTTCTGAATTACAAACCTTAATTGAAAAGGTTATATTAAATAGTTTCTCATGATTTAAGATTTAACACTAAAAATCTGAAAATAAAATTAAAAAAAAAAAACTGATAATATAAGTGGAGATGGTGGCATTAAATATCCAACATCCGGACTGTGCCATATCTTGTATCTTGATATTTATGAATTTCATGTGTAGAACATTCATGTGATGTTTGATGAAGCAGTGCGCCCCAGTTTACACTAAGCCAATGTAACTGTTCCCAAGAAACAATGTAAAAACAAATCAGCAAGAACAGGTCGCTGATCAATTATAAGAAAAGGGCCAGGTTTCCCCGTACTGGAAAGGCTACCTAGAGATCGAATCTGTTTCTTTACCAGTGTCAGTGATCAATAAATTACCTGAGCTTCGGCACTCAGTAACTCTGCTCCAGCCCCAGGAGACAGACTGCTCTCCCATCCCGGCGTGCACCCCTGTCTCCTGGGGCCTCACGACGGAGCCTGAGCTGACCTCACTGAGCTGCGGCCCAAGGTCCTTCCTCCCAGGCCCTGCCACCGTTCCTGAGCCCTGCACGGCACTTGCGAGTCGCTTGGGAATTAGGAGCTCAACAAAGCAAGCAGGGGAAATTTTAAAACAGCTACAAAAAAGCACAGAAAACATTCTAGTACACATTCCAAATTCCTTGGTTATTATTATAGATGTATTTTAATTAAAGCTTCTTTTACAGCGTAGTCTTTATCCTGTGTTTCAAAATAGCCCCTCGTTGCTATGGAAGACCGATAATTTATAAGTTTGGATGATGACAACATTTTGGTACTAAAAGTGGAAAAGAGGACATGAACAGAGCTTATGTCATTTTGAAAGAAACTACTATCCTTGCCAATTACCAATAAAACCTGAATTAATTCATATTTAAAGTCTGTTGATACTGGCAATTTCCAGACTGCTACTTAAATAAAATTCAGGGTTCACTTTGGAAAACTCAGTATTTAAACTTGAGTCTTCCAGATTATTATATAATATGGCTTTCCTAATTAAAAAGAAGTATAGCACATAAAGGCAACAATTCTCTACAGCCAAGGTCCTACCCAGAACCTTCTCAGAACCCCATACTTCAGCCAAAAGATGTATCTCAAATATTTCCCAAAGCAGTATAAGGAACAGTGAAAAGACACAAAAAACATCAATTACTTTAACGGAAAGAGATAAAGAAGCATTTGGGGAAGCCTGTGTTAAAATGAACTATTAGTACTTCTAGCTAACCTCTTATATATCTAATAGTTCTTTGCTGTTTAAAAGCATATCAGTCGACACAATGTGTAAGAAAAACAAAGGATAGCCAAAACCAAATTAGCCTAACTGTCTTTAGGGCTCATTTGGCATGAGCTTAAAACATATACTGTAGCTATTTCAGTTGGGATACTGACTTAAAACATATACTGTAGCTATTTCAGTTGGGATCCCAGCAGGAAAATATTGGGAAACAACATCCAGGAGAGGCACAGAACTCTCAACAGGCTTGATCAAAGACACATCATAATCAAGCTTTCTTCAATCGAACATAAGGAAAAGATCCTTAAATGTGCACGTGAAAAAAATGAACTGACATATAAAGGAATGCCAATTAAACTCACAGCTGACCTCTCACAAGAAACTCTACAGGCAAGAAGAGAATGGAGTGACATATTCCAGATTCTAAAAGGAAAAAATTGTCGGCCTAGGATAACATATCCAGCAAAGCTTTCTTTTGTCTTCGAAAACGAAATAAAATTCTTCCACAGTAAAGAAAAGCGAAAAGAATTTGCTTCTTCCAAACCTGCCCTACAAATGATACTTTAAGATGTTCTTTTGACAGAGAAGAGGAATAGCACCAAACAAAACCAAAGGCAAATGGGAAGAACATTCCTGTAAAATGACAACAGAAGACTAAACCAAAGAACAACCTATTCCTAAAATGACTGGACCAAGGTACCACCCATACATATTAACCCTGAATGTAAATGGCTCAAGCTCAATCAAACATCACAGATTAGTAGACTGGATAAAAAAACAAAACTCATCTATTTATTGTCTAGTAGACACATTTCACCAACAAAGATCAGCGGAAACTATACTGCATGGGTTTTGATGTTTTGGTTAGTTTCATCTCTTCAAAATACTTTCTTCTGATTAAATCATTCAATGACTCATAGATCATAGAGTAGCATCATTTTCTTCAAGAAGGTTCTTGATTTTCATTTCTTCAGCTACACATTAGTCATTTAGTAGCATATTATTTAACTTCTTGGTGTTGTTAATTTCTTTTTTCGTCCTGATGTTGATTTTGTTTTGTGGCTCTTCATTGAAGGGGATGTATAGTAGCTGTGTAATGGAGACTGTCATATCTAGTAA